GTCGACGGCCCCATGCTACTGGGGCTGCCTCCCTTAACCCATTACTGGTACCGATGCTGCCGCCGCCGGGAGGTGGTAACTCCCGGCGCCGAGATACTAATGGCTCGAAGAATTAGATTTTTCGGCCTCTTCTCTACAGGCCCTCGCACGCTGGTAGTTTTTCTTGAGGGTTGCCAGCACGTCACGCCAGCGTTCCTCATCCTCCGGCGTCGGCGGACGCCAGCTCGTTGGCCACGGATACGTCACTGGTCACCGTTGAGGGCCCAGAGAAGAGTGCCCCAACGCAGGGAGGGAAGGCCGTGGCGTCAGCAGCAGCCTCCGCGTCGTGGGGAGACGCAACCCCGTCGGCGCCAGACTGGTCCGGATGTCCAGGCGCGGGAGGGGCGGCGGCGATGGTGTCCAGCAGGTTGCCGAGGCCACGTGCGTGGATGGCCTCGGTGATGCGGTACACCTGTTCCGCCTCCGTGAGAACAGGCCCGGTAGAAGCAGTCGATGACGCTGCAAGGAGATCCGGCGCGTAGGTGACGGCGCCGGGAGAAGCCGCCGAGCCAGGCATTGCCCCAGCAGAGGCACAGGGAGGAACGAGAGAGAGGGGGGGGCGGGAGGGGGTACTACAAGAGCAGGCTGCACGCTACCAGCTAGGCGCGGGCTACGGCGTACAGCAATACCCTTTGACGATTCTTTCTCTTCAGAGACCCCGGTAACACGCTTGCGGTCCGACATGATCAACTCAAACAAACTCGGCAGCTTCGCCAACTGTGATATAAGCTTTTAGCTGGGTTTGTGTTCTGATGTGGAGCACTGCGAACCAATCACAACTGAGGTGTGGTTCTACTAGCAAGGGTGGTTCAGCTAGTACGTCGGGTCCAAAGGATGTTTGGTCAACGCTGTCGATGCTCGTGAAGTAGTCACGGGTCTCTGTTGTGCACAAGGGGTAGAGTCGAATGTGGTCTCTTTTAGTCAGCCTAAGGTGAACTGCTGATCAGCAAGAACACCTACTGTAACTCAACCGCTTATCTATCCAATCTCACGAGGCTGTCCAATGCTATGCTAAGGCGTCACACTCAACACAACGCTATGGGGACGGCACTCACGCTCACCTAAACCCTTGTCGAAGCTATGCCAAGCG